TTTTTAAATTACAAATATCACATGTACCCAAACATGATTAATGTGGCCTAGATTATTATTATTGTTGTTGTTGTTGTTAAGATTTTATTGGGGAGTTGGGAAACAGCATTGGGGAAACAGACAAGTTGCTGTCCTTTTTGTCTTCAGTCTAGTTGTGGAGGATATCAGTTCACTGGCCCATGTTGGTATTATCATTGCACTCTTCCTGGGTGTGGCAGTCGCTCACAAAAGCTCACGCCAGCTGCCAGGCAGCCCAACTGCAGCCTATTTGGTCGCTGGCGACTCACAGCAGCCCAGCTCCAGGTTGAGCTGTTGTTCACTGTCTTAGCTGTAGAGGGCGGAGCATCACTGGCCCACATGTGGGATCCGAACCAGGGCCCTGCTGCTCAGAACTGGCATCCCAAGCCAATTCTTAACCAACGCGCCACTCGGCCAGCCTGTGGCCTAGATTTTTAGTAAATTAAGATGATTTTACTTTCTGGCATTTTAATAAATAGTATATGAGAAACTAAAATTTTTTACTTCACGGACTTTCCAAATTTCCCCTTTTTGTGTTATGAAATTGAGAACTGTTATTTGATAAATGCATGTCAGGAAACCAGAAAACTTGAAGTTGATTCACATCTCTAAGAGAAATATTTAAAAATTTTGAAATATATTGACTTCACAGCAACACCCTTTTCTACTTCCTTTTTGAAAGGTTTTGTGTTTTGTGTACTATAATCAGTTTTAAGTTCATTGTGATGTAATTTTAAGGGGTTTTTCCTCTTTTATAAGTAGATCATAGCTTGTTTTCTAAAAATTTCATGTGAAAGTTTCTTAAATTCTGTTAAGGCTTTTGTGTTTAACTGTAAATTTTATTACACATTATTTAGTATTTTTCTCTAGCATAATGTATAAAAGTAATCCTTAGAATTGACTCTCAGAATTCTTTCAGTTTGAATTTATATCACGTATTTATTTACTTATTTGTTTTTCACAAATGTATTTTTAGGTTCCAATGATTCTGGTTGGTAATAAGTGTGACTTGGAAGATGAAAGAGTTGTAGGAAAGGAACAAGGTCAAAATCTAGCAAGACAATGGAACAACTGTGCATTCTTAGAATCCTCTGCAAAATCAAAAATAAATGTTAATGAGGTATGGTGAAATACACTTAAAAAGCTCAATTTGGAATTCAGCGTTCAAAATTAATGGAAAATAATATGTGTGTATTAACACAACCCCAAGTTAATGTGTATTCAGTGTGCTTTGTTGATATAGGCAGAAATCTTATGTTAAATGTATACATGTTAATAAACAACAGTGCTATTTTAGCTTCTTTATTAAATGCTGGTACAGTAGAATTTACCATGAAAAGAAGGAACTGAACAGAAAATGATAGGGGTGGGGAAGACAGATTAAGTCTTCAGGTATATGAAGGATGTTACGTAAAAGATGGAGACAAATTCCAAAAGGCATGCACAGTTCTTGCCTTGAAGGGGCTTAAAGTCATAGTGGAAAAGGTACATAGAAAGATTGGAAGAAGAGTAAAGGATTGTTTTCTTTGGGTGATGGTAAATGTTCTAACTGAACTAAGATTAAGATCTCTGCAACTCCTTCAGCTTAGTACTTATTTTAAGGAGAAAATTTTTACCCTCCCAAAAAATAAACAAACAGAAAAGAACTTGGCAGTTGCCAAAGAATACCTGGTTTTACTCTTCGTTTCTTAACTGGATAGAGTATTTGCTTTCAGGGTTCATTTATATCCATGGAAAGTTCAGGTTGTTTTTTCATTTTACTTTATAATTTTTTGTTTTTTGGGTTTTTTCTCCTGTAAATTAAAAATAATTCATGTGTTTGCAGATCTTTTATGATCTAGTGCGGCAAATTAACAGAAAAACTCCAGTGCCTGGGAAGGCCCGTAAAAAGTCATCCTGTCAGCTGCTTTAATATACTAAATGCATTGTAGCTCTGAGCCAGGTATGTGAGTTTATATTTTCCTTTTTTTTTTTTTCTATTTCTTTTCCTCTAACTTTTAGCCTCAACTTAATTTAGGGCACTCTTGTCAAGAAAGCAAATATAGAACTTTTTGTTCTAAAAAGAAACCAGTTACTTCCTTTTTAAGATATCTATGAGTTAGTATTCTATCCTAGTAATTAAAATAATCATTTATATATCAGGAAGTAAGGTATTCCACATAAGTGAATATTCTAGATAAGTTAATCCAATATATAGTTACACTTCAATGGGAAACTAGTCTGTATTGACAATACAGTGATGAACAAAATCAGCCTCTTTTTGCCTCATGCTAATTAAGGTCTATGGAACAAAACAATTGTAAAATATGACGAGTGCTATGATAGAATAAATCCAGGATAATACTGACAGTAAGTATCCCTGACACATTTATTATATGCTGGGCACTTTTAAGTACTGTCTACCGTGTTTCCCAAAAATAAGACTGAGCAGAGAAGAAGCCCTAGCATGATTCCTCCAGGATATGGAGGGCACGCACCCCTCACATGAGGGTTTTATGACCCGTTTCAGGGAGAAGGGTGCCTTTTTCACAAACTGGTTCAGCTTAAAATATTCAGTATGCCAAGGTGCCATATTTTGGCACCTAAAATCATGCAAGGGCTTATTTTCGGGGAAACGGTATCTATTGAGTTCTTGCAGCAAACCTGTGAGGCAGAAACTCTTATCATTCCCATAGTACAATGAGTGAACTGAGGCACAAAGAGATTGTTACTTGTTTGAGCCCTGCAGTTAGTAAATAGCAGAGCCAGAATTTTAATCCAGTGATCTGAGCACGTAGCTCAGAATTTGAGCCATGGACTGGCTCCCATGTCCATGCTTGGTCACTATGCTATTATGAGTAGATAGGAGCATATAACTGGGTCACCAAACCAGTCAGATGTGAACTGTAGATTCAGGGAAAGTCTGTCAGAGTGAGAGACATCTAAGCTGAGATCTAAACATTAAGTACAAGTTATGTAAGGGATGAAGAGTTCCCAGACAGAGAGAACCACAAATACAACCCAGAGATGAGACAGCAAAGGAAAACTGAGCATGTAACATTTTATATAGTTTTTGAAAACAGCCATATTAAATGAGTTAATACTTGTGAAGCAGTAAGATCAGTGCCTGGCATATGGTAAACCCTCAATTAGCTACTGCTGTTTGCCAATGATAATGGTTTCCTACTCAGTTGTCATTAAACCATATTGTACTGTACTCCTATTTTGGGACACCTTTTTATAGTGTTTATAATAAATAATTTTTCTTTTATCCTTGGTCACTTTTGACGTTTATGGTTCAGCTTTTTCCTGTGTTAAATGGCCCTGTATCGTAGGTCTCTGATTCTGTATCTTTTTTGGAGTTTTTGACCCTACTTTCTGTTCAGAGATATATCTTCTCATTTTTGATATCCTTTCATTCCTGACCACATGCTCATTCTTAGCACACATGTGCCTGAGCTCACATATTCCCATCTGTCCTTTCCAGTTTGCTACATTCAGTTTGCTAGGACTTGGGAAACTTAACAGACTCATTCAGACTCTAAATGAGGGCTTAAAGTTCAAGGCATTTATGAAAATTATTTCAGCAGCCACATCCATATTAACAACGTTTCTGGAATTTGGAACAAGTCGGATCCCCAGAAAAGTAATAATAAAGGAAACATTTTTTAGGCCAGGCATTTTTGCACTAACTCACACAAAGTAAATAAATATTTGGCAATGAATTCTGATTTTACTTCTCTTGTTTATATCACCCACAATTTTTTTAAGTTTAATTACTTATGATTTTAGTATAACACCAGCTTTTCCTGACATCCATCTAACAGTCAATAGAATCTGTTTAAATATGAATTAGAAAGAATATAACTGTCATCATGAAATATATTCTGCTTTGTCTACTTCTCTGAACCAGCTTTTTAGCTACTCGTATAGGAAGAGTGAGGAAGAAAGTCTTGATTTTCTGATACTAGAAACCNTTTGACAGTGATGAGGAGTTGTATGAATTTTATGATGAATAAAACTTGAGTTCAATAACTTTATGTAATACCTTTTATTTTTTTCAAATTTTGGGCCCCAAAATTAAGGTGCGTCTTATACATGGGAGCGTCTTACACATGGGGGAAATACGGTACATAATACTACAATATTCTTCATTGAACTCTAATTATAGAGTTTGAAAATTGTCAAATTAACTGTCACAACATCATTAGATTTTTTTTTTAATGTTATTGTTTCTTAATGATTCATTCTTTCTACTGTAGGAACAATTTACAGCAATGAGGGATTTGTACATGAAAAATGGACAAGGCTTTGCATTAGTTTATTCCATCACAGCACAGTCCACATTTAATGATCTACAAGATCTGAGAGAACAGATTCTTCGAGTTAAAGACACTGATGATGTAAGCTGACTTTTTAAACAAATAAATATATTTTATTTTAAACTCTTATTGTAGTGATATCCAATTTATAAGTTAGAATTTAAATCCAATTTAAAGCAGGTTTATTTTGGTGCGGGTTGTTTTCAAAAGGTTTTTCTTTGAAATGCAAAAATGTGTCCTTAACACGCGTACATATTTTAAATATACCGGGGGTGCCAAACTGGAGGTGCCAAAAAAAGCATACAACACTTTGGTCAATATGTTGCTCAAGCAGTAGCTCGCCGTAATCAGAGGTGTCTGGACGCTGATGCTAACCATTTTGAGCACCTCTTGTAATTGCGGAAGTCAAATGGGAGTTGTATTCATGTATTAATTATTATTGGTATATATTGAGTATTACAATTTCAATACAGTTTTCCTTTCATAAAAAAATGTGTATACATTTTTTTTGCGCCCTCTATATAATGTAGAAAGTAAGAAACACCACCCTTTCTGCTTAACGTGTGTAAAATAAGTTTTATGCCCTTCCTATTTTTAAATCATGCATTTGGTAGGGGGGAAGGAGAGATGTGGGTGGCAAATGTTGTTAATAGAGCAAATGATGTTCTGGCCACATTTCTGGTAGATTTAAGAGCCTTTTTAACAAGAATGAGTACTACATATGAACACATTTGAAGCAACTATGACGGAAAGGGAGCATGATAATTTTTAAAGGAAACCTACAGATATATTAGACTAATGTTAGTTTACATGCCTCTTCAGAGTGCACCATAATGGAGTTTAATCTTTGTAGGAAACTTCAAAAGGGTTACTTTAATTTCTCATCACACTCTATATATAGCAGTGGTCCTGCAAATTAAACAATCTTGCATCAAAATCACCAGTAAAGCTGGTTAACACAGATTGCCAGGAGCTGCTCCCAGAGTTTCTGATTCAGTAGGTCTGGGATGGGGCTTAAGAATTTGCATTTCTAACACGTTTCTAGATGGTGGTGATGC